TTTACAAAACAAGATATACAAATGACAAATACACACCTGAAAAATGCTTAATACATTAGCTGTATTAATACAGTCAAATGCAAACTAAAACCACTAAGAGTTACTGCATTAGTGGTGTCTAATACTCTAACCCATTAGAACAACTAAAATTAAAAGGACTTACCCTTACTGAGGATGTGGAAAAACTGGACTTTTCATTTAGTACAAGTGGAAATGCAAAAATAGTACAAACACTTGGAAAACAGGCCTTTTCTTAAAAATTTAAATATGAACTTACCATTTGAGCTAGTGACTCAATTCCTCATTATTTTGCCCAAGGGAAACAAAAGATTCTTTCCACGGAAAGAATTGTATGTGAATTTTTGTAGCACTTTATTTGTGAGAGCCTCAAACTAAAAACAAATGTCCATTAACAGATAAATAGGTAAACAAAATGTGGTACACTTATATATTAGAATATAACTCAACAATATACAAGGACCAGATCACAAACAAATATATACAATAGATAAATCTCAAATCCTTAAGTGAAAGAAACCAGAGGGAAAAAGAAGATATGCTATACAATATCATAATGACAGAGAACAAATTAGTAGAGTTGACCTTGAACAACACGGCATTGAACTGCAAGGGTCCACTTATATGCAAATGTTCTTCTGCCTCTGCCACCCCTGAGACAACAAGACCAACCGTCCTCTTCCTCCTCTTCCTCAGTCTGTTCAGTGTGAAGACAAAGGTGAAGACCCTTATGATGATTCGCTTTCACGTAATGAATAGTGAGTGTATCTTCTCTTCCTTAGGATTGTCTTAATAACATTTTCTTTTCTCTAGCTTACTTTATTGTAAGAATACAGTATATAATACATATACCAAATATGTGTTAATCGAATGTTTATGTTATCAGTGAGGCTTCTGGTCAACAGCAGACTATTAGTAGTTAAGTTTTGGGGGAATCAGAAGTTACATGCCAATTTTTGTCTTCCTGGTTAGGGAATGGTCTGTGCTTGCAACCCCCACATTTTTGAAAGGTCCCGGGGACAGGAGTAGAAGGAGGAAGAGACTACAAAAGGGCACGGGGAAACATTGGAGGCCATAGCAATGTTCAGTGTCTTCCAAATGGTGATGTTTTTCATGGGAACATTCCATGGCAACAGTCATTACATTATACAGTTTAAATATGTGCTATGTATTGTATATAATATTTGCTTCAATAAAGTAGTAAAAGACATGAGCACTGTTATTCTACAATCCACCCAATCAGGTTCTCTGGCAGGATTCACTTATTTTTCTTTCAACGAATATTTATTGATCACATCCTATTTGCCAGGCACTGTTCTAGATGCCAGGGCTACAGTAGTGGGCAGTCTGGGTGGGGGGGTAGACAGGGAGAGGCAGGGAAGAAAGAAAAAGTCTTTACCTTCATGGGAATATATTCTAGTGAGGAGGGACAGATAATATAGTCAGAGGTGTCTGAAGAATTGAAGAAAAATAAAGCTGAGCCTATGAATAGGGAGTTTTAGGGATGACAGTGTGGTTGCAATTTTAAATTGGGTGATAATTTAACAAATGTTAACTATAGATTTGCAATTTAAATAGGAGAGTAAGACTCAGTATCATGTAAATCCTTACCTATGCAATATATTTTGTCATATTTCCTTTGTGTAAATCGTTCCTTTTATTTGATTAGTAAGTTATCCTTCCAGTTCTTTGAATGCTGAGCAGTGATAGCGAACAAGGTTTTGGAATCTGTATCTCAATTCCCTCCTGGGTCTAGTTTCCCCAACATACTGAGAAAGCCCATATTCTCTGCAAAATGCATTGAAAGAAAAACTGCGCCTAGGTGGTTGAGTTAAGTGGTCTTGCTTGGATCTCCCCTCTTGGCTAGAGGAAATACCGCTGGAAGTAAGGGGAGGAGAAAGGGTCCAAGGTTGCTCAGAGTCGGAGTACTCATAATTCAACTTTCTAAACAGCACAGCTCCAAATCACCCCTTCTGGTTCACTTTCTCTTGAGAGTGAACGAGCTCATGATGTAACTTTCTCAGGGGTATCAATCGAAGAGATGAAGTTCTCTCTTGTAATCTTGCTGGTTTTAATTTTTATCCTTTTGGTAATGGACAGTCTTTTGTCTTTCTCAGAGAAATGGTCCAAAACTATGATAATTGCAAAAGTCAGATTACCATCACAAAACATTGAGTACCTATAATACAGCTTTAGTTAAATCAATTAGTGTATAGGCTTCCTAAGCTGTAATGCAAGTCATCTAAATGAGTTTCTTTTTTTTTTTTTTTTTTTTTTTTGAGATGGAGTCTCGCTCTGTCGCCCAGGCTGGAGTGCAGTGGCCAGATCTCAGCTCACTGCAAGCTCCGCCTCCCGGGTTTACGCCATTCTCCTGCCTCAGCCTCCCAAGTAGCTGGGACTACAGGCGCCCGCCACCTCGCCCGGCTAGTTTTTTGTATTTTTAGTAGAGATGGGGTTTCACCGTGTTAGCCAGGATGGTCTCGATCTCCTGACCTCGTGATCCACCCGTCTCGGCCTCCCAAAGTGCTGGAATTCTAAGAGAACAGCCATGCTCATACTATTATGGCTATTCTTTCCCCACAAGTAGCAATCCATATTAGAAATGAAATTCTCCTTGGCATGGAGAACTGTGAATAATACACCTTATACATGGCTTTAAAAACAGAAATTCTATCATTACAGTGAATGTCCAGCAGCTCTATTTTTTTTATCTTTCCTTAATATGGGGCATGCTATGACTTTTCAAAAATTCTATAAAACCATTAAGAAAAATGAGTTCCCAGTTACTTATCCTGAATTATTTAAGATGAACTCAGTGGGCAAAATATTCTGCCCGTGAGAAACAACATTATTGCTACTGGGGAATAAAATTGAGAGAATAGTGTCAAGGATTTATTTGCCTGCAGTGGGAAAACTGTTTATCTTTAAATTAAGAACTCATCATTATCTTGGCAAAGCCGATGTAAGTGACATATGGAGGGAGATCTACTCTGGGAACAAGTCAGCCTTTGCAAATGAACATTGTAAAGGAAGCTCTACAGTTGTGGTCTGGAGTTGGCCTCGAACGCCATCTTTCACCAGTGTGCCACTAAGGTAGATACCACCACCCGCTCAGCATTTTCTTATGGAGAAGAAATAGGTTATATTACGTGGAAGTGCTTATGTACTAGGGAACACTTCAACATGTTAACTGCTAAGTTTAATAATTGTTTCCTTCAAAATCATTTTAAAAATTCACTTGCAAAGCCCAGTCTTTAAATAATTAATGAAAAATTTGAAGAGATAAGTAAAAATCGCTTTGCTAAGTCCAAATCACTTATTTCCTAGTTCTGAATGGAATCAATTTTTAATGTGATACGAGTTCCATACTAATATTGGTTTAATGTTTCCCACTCACCATATACTCAACTTCAGCACAGCGATAAAGTTGCTTTGAGTACAGAAAATAATTGATAAAAATGCAGTTTTTTATTTGAAAAGTGTGCAGAAACAATCACTGAATACATTTCTCAACCATAATACTCAAACCCAGACAACACAAAAATCATTGGATGCTATGATTTCTGAAGCCACTAGAACTTTGGTACAACAAAATAATGACCTAACAGTGTGCGTCAGGAACCACAGTCTATTAAGGGGCATATAGAATAAAAACTCCATGTTTATAGCTTTTTTTTTTTTTTTTTTTGAGATGGAGTCTCGCTCTGTCGCCCAGGCTGGAGTGCAATGGCTGGATCTCAGCTCACTGCAAGCTCCGCCTCCCGGGTTCACGTCATTCTCCTGCCTCAGCCTCCCAAGTAGCTGGGATTACAGGCACCTGCCACCACGCCCAGCTAGTTTTTTGTATTTTTTAGTAGAGACGGGGTTTCACCATGTTAGCCAGGATGGTCTCGATCTCCTGACCTCGTGATTCGCCCGTCTCGGCCTCCCAAAGTGCTGGGATTACAGGCTTGAGTCACCGCGCCCGGCCCCCATGTTTATAGTTTTAAGTTACATTCATAGCACTAGACAAAACAGATCTGTGTAGAAGACAGACAAAATAATCAAACGTGCTTAGCCTAAAAATAAGGATAATATTACTTGAAGGTAAACTGTTGGGATACAATGAAGCACTTCAGTGTTATATTAGAACAACGTCTACTTTTAACACACTAAAGCAGGATAATTTATTTTTTAAAAAATAATTTCAGATACAATCAGTATCTCTTGCAAGGCTATGGACACAGAAGCCCTATTTGTACATGGAAGATTTTGGCCAAGTTGTAATATACTACCTAGAATTCATTGGTTTCCTTGAAATAAATACAAGATGACATACATATTTTGTCAGTAATGAGATGTATTAAACATTTTCAATCAAATACAATGACTTCAAGTTGCCTGCCCATTTTTAGTTTTTAATACTTCTACTGTACTAAAATTAGTGTGTTTTCCTTGCTATGATACCTCTTTTCACATCAAGCAGTTTAAATTATAACTGTGGTTTTTTATTAGATTTTAGTTTGTGAATAGTGTCTATTTATGAAATGGAACATAATTTACAAACCACTTTCTTATACATATCTCGTTTGAGCCTGACATGAACTCTGTGAGGCACATATAAACACATACAGGGTTTATAAGCCCTATATGAGGATAAATCACTAAGCTATTTAATGACCTACTCATGGTTCCCAAGTTGTTCTTTCTGGCCACTTTCCTTTCTACAACACTAGGTGTTTTCGCAAAAAGCATTTGAAAACAAAATCACCTGGAAAAAGAATAAAGATAAGCATATGTTATTACTTTTCTAGGAACAGAAACTATTTTAATATGCCAACAGACATAAAGACAGAAGCCACTGATTAAATAAGGGATCCATTAAGTTAAGGTCAGACATGCTTGCTCCTACAGAATTTGCTAATAATCCTTGTAGACAAAGTCAGCTGAGGGATGTTAGCCATTACTTCCACAGCCTGCTGGAAAAGAACCAGGAAACCCACTCAGTGAAAAGATGATTTATTTGTATATTATTTTTTCTGAAAAGATGACAAAATAGTTCCACTATTCTGGCACTAATGTTTTTGCTTTTGTGTTAGTGATATTCTCTCTATATAGGAAATGAGAAAATATCTCAACCATGGACTGTTGATACAAAGAACTCTGCAGGAAAACGTCTTTGTGATGGTACTCCTTGTGATGGTACTCCTTGAATCAAGTGCTTTATGAAAATATCATAAATCTAATTTTTCTATAAATTAGAATTATATGCAATAAACAAAATATCTCTAAGTGTCCCATATTTTTATGCCAATAACGAAATGTTTTTTGTTCAGATATTTTTACTAGTTTAGTTCTAAGGGCATAAACCTCTACTTGGTAGAAAAAAATGGACACATATCTGCTATGGATCTGGTTACAAAAAAAAAAACTATCTGTTACTAGGTCTGTCTTTATTCGGACTCACAATCAACCTTCTCAAAATTGACCTTTGAAGTATGACCTTCTCCAGGTTCTGCTGTATTCAAGGGCACAATTTAAACAACTTTTAACTCTAATTATCTTTATAGTTCTTGCATGACAATGTCATTGTAGTTGGGTCTCCACCCAGAAATTCTAAGGCAACAAATTTATAAAATTCTCTATATATCCAATCAAAATTTGTATCAGTTTTACTTTATGAGACAAGCAGCTTCATGGATTTATAAAGCATTGAAACAACACTCATCCCAAATAATAGCCTATATCCATTTTCATGTATAAGAGCTCAGCACTTCCCCCAGAAATAAGCTGACATCACCTTGGTTAAAGATCCAGAAGAAAATATAGCTTATGGTGAATTCTTAGACAACTTTTGCAAACATAGGCAGCATCTTGGCATCTTAAAAAATGATAAAGCTTTCTCTAAAATATTCAAATACACTAGACTTCTTTTAATGTCTTAAAGCTTGTTAGTAGAGAGGAAAAAACAACTCTTCTATCACTTTGGAAAATACCAGCTCTCAGATCTTATTTATAAACAGTTGTTATGTATCTTAGGAAACCAGAGACTTGGAATATTATTTCTTTATAGTTGAGTTTTAGATTATAAATCCAAAATCCTTTACGAATGAGGATTTTCCCCTCAAATGCTTGGTGTAATATTCAATAAGGAAAGAATTATGTGCCCTTTTTTAAATGAAGAGAGATGCAGAACAATGAACAATCTGTTTCATGAACACAAGGTTATATACTATGCTTAACTAACCACTGCACCAGTTGCACAGTACTGCTTCTCTTTCTAACTGCTGCACTCACTCCACTGGTGAAGAGATAGACAAGCTTCATCAAATTTGTTGATTCCCAGTGTACTCAATTTACAGCTTAAAGAACATCATATTGTGGCTATTAAATTATTTTTAATGTAGTCTTGTCTTTCTCCATGGTCAAGTATCTCTTTCTTACAAAGGGGACAAGAAAGGGCTGATTAAAATTCTTGCCTGGTTCATCTACCTGTACAGGTTGGCAAAGAACAATTTATAGTAGAAGGATGACAAAGACACCTATCTGGTTAAAAATAACATAAAATGTTTACTTTAGAAATGGCTGGTTTTGAATATTTTGCAGGGCAATAGCTGATAGTACAAAAATAATAGTAAATTGGGAAAGTGGTAACTCGCAAGAGTTTTAAAACTCTTACAGAGAGACCCACATGCTCAACTCTTGACATTTAGTATTTTCTCTGCGAATCCTTGATTTCTTATCATCATCAGACCAAGACAAACATTTTGTTCTCTGGATTATTTTTGATAAATTTTTCAAAGGATCTTTCTTTTGCTACCCTGTTAGGTACCCTTGTACCTAATCACAGCTAGGAGTCTCAGGTAATGCCAACTTCATAAGAAGTAAGTGAGGAGACCAACAGAAGGTGGTTAAACTCTCCAGATTCCAATAAAGTCACTGCATCCCTTGGTGATAATATCAGAAGATCTTTAGCTGTGTTAGTGTCTCTGTGAGGGTTTCCTATGATATAACGTTATAGGAAATGAGCTATGTGGTTGGAGGCAAATTTGGTCACAGAGGTATCTGAGGCACTGAGTTACAGCAATGTAAACATCAAACCAGTATAAATACTCCGGAAATGGTTTCTATATCAGAAAGGAGCTTCATGTACATTTTCAACATTTCTCCTAAATACAGTATGTTTTACTAAAGCATTGGGAGATACTTAGTAACAGGACATATCTTAGCTAAAAATACATGCTATTGTGGGGTAAGTTAGGGGATTTGGAAATCTTTAAAGTAGTCTGTATACTTTATGGCACCAGATCAATTTGAAATTGTAAAATGAATTATACAGAACTATTAATCCTGAAATAATGAGAGAAAGAATTTCTAATAATGATTACATAGAATCTGGGGTCAGGTGTCAAACTTTATGGATAAATTTTTTTTTTAGATCAAGCATTTATTTATAAGTAGAACAATATTTTAAATCAATTTTGTCACTTCTCATTCCTTTTGAAATTATTACCCAATAATTGTTACTTTTACAGGAATACCCCTGTAATTATAGGTATCATCAGCCTCTGCTTCATGCTACAGCTATCAAATAATGATCTTAAAACAGACCCTGAAAAAACACTCATTAAATAACTGACAGTGACAGAATCTTGGCATAAGTAAATCAATCATATAACTGAAAATGAATAGAAACAAAAAGACATATCAAAACAGAATACTTTTAGAGTTTTATAAAGGCTTCACATTCCTGATTAAGGAAATGCAGGGGACATTACAATTTGAATCCAAAGAAAAAATTGATATAATGACCACAAAAGTTCACCAAAATTTGCCACAGCAGTGGCAATATAACTTGTTCCTGCTGACTTTCCTCCCAGAAGAAACATCTTAAATGTTAGCTTACAGTTTTCTATCTTCATGGCACAGGCACTGAGATAATGAAGAGCATCCCAGAGGAAACAATATGGGAGGGAATACCCAGCCACGATCCATCTTAGAACCTGTTGCGATGCTGCAGAAATCAGAGGAGCTGCCCAATTAATGCTGAGAATTTCATCGGGGACTAACAGCATGAAAGCTTTCAAATTATTAATAATTTGATTCATGGCACATTTATGGGTCTAGTCCATCCTAAGAACATTATAAAGAGACATTTCCTTGTATCTGTCTGTGTTTTTGAAACTGAATCAATACCAGATAGAAGTTGGTAGAGGGAAGCTGAATGATGGAATGGGATTTTTAGGGTCTTCAATGTGTATAACTTCACAAAAAATATGCACAGAGTATGAAAAAAGTAGGTTTGATGGGAAAAAAATTATAGGACAAGGAAACAGCCTGTCAAAAAATTGTATGCTCATAATTTAAAAAATGAAAATATATTGTCTTTCTTATTGGTAAAATTGACTGAATAAATAATATTTTGATAGGAATGGCTTGTGTTTATCAGAAACTAAGATCAAAAATTAATGTAATGTTAGTTTAGACACAAGGACAGAATAGGCCAATGAAAAATGATTTTGTTATTTTTTTTAGAAAGAAAAGGAAGCTTTACATTTAAAAAAAATACTGGCCAGTTTTTTGGTGAGATAAGATGTAGGTCCTTCCTCACCCAACCCCCCAAATACAGCTCAACTATAGGTGTTTTGCCTTTGGCAAAATAAAATCTATTGTAATATAGAATGAGGTATTATCAATTTTTATGTGATTAATGACATGAAAATTCAGAGTGACCACAGAATTGATCCATAATTGTTCCAAAGTTACTGATCAACAAAGTAACACACCTGCAATTCTGCAGCTGATTCAAAGTCAGGAATAAGTGGGATTTGGAGGGAAGAAATACGATTTAGAGTTTCCAGTGCTTTTGTAAACTAAAAGGAAACCTGCAATAATTGTCACTTTTTGTTTCATATCACCATAAAATATTTATCTAAAAAAAAGTTTTCCTTGACTGTATTTTAGAAGAGATTTAATAAACCGTAACTGTTAATTTCTCCTTGTGACTATTTTATCAGCATGTGCTAAGAAAAAACGAAATGTGAAGCTGAACACCAAACGGATTTCCAAAATTTTGTTTGAATTGGAAACCTCTGGAGTTCTCTGAATACCAGCTGATAATGTCAGTTTCTAATTGGCTTGAGTAAAATTTGGCTAAGTAACCCTTCCAGACATCTCTAACAGATACATTGAATTTCAGCTGTACAAATGCCAATTTCTCGTACTTTCATTTTTTTCCCAGGGTATTTGTCTTGTACTTTGTCATTTACAGTTCTGTTCTTGTCAACGTGCTATATATTAAGAATATAAAGATAGCATTATGACACTATCTCCTGCATTTTAGCAGAAGTGTGACATTTACCTATTTGTAACCTTATCAGTAATCTATTCATTCTAGTACAGCTTATTGGGTGTACACAGCATGTCATTCTTAATTGGCCAAATAGAATTCTTCATTGTGTATCCATTTTTAGTTAATACGTTTTCCCCAATGCAAATCTAAAAGTATACATCTGATTCAATATAAGAAGTAAACCCAACCTTTTAGAAATTCTTGTTTCTGTGTTCTCCCTTTAGTAGCCCACCCTTTTCTCCAATGTGACAGGTAACTTGTTCTGATTTAAAACTCACTGATATTTCTTCTTGTATGTTGTCTTATATACTCATTTTCTCTATAAGAAAAACAAATTGAGTATCCATGATGATGAGATCACATGTGGGAAATCTTTGATCTTGTTTGAAATGGTCTCGAGGATAACTAGTCAATTCTTTTGAACACTGTTGACTATTCTGGTTTCTTAAAATAGATTTTCTGGCAGAAAAAGAAAGACATGCCATTGTGCATGGTTTACTCAATGACAATTGTGTGGTTTGTCATTGTTTATAAAAGTAATATTTTGGTGGGGTTCTTGATGTTCAGTTTCTATTTAGAGTCTAGCAGATACATTTCTTCTCTGGTGGCTTTTCCCCATCCAACTTTCCAGAATTTCCACCATTGACAGTATCAGGGATTTGTGTCTTCTCCACACACTGTTCCATTCGCTTCATGATTAAGTCCAAAAGGGTTTCTACAGCTTTCTCCACATTCTGTCCAGTTGCTGCACTTGTTTCAAAATATGGTATGCTAGCATAGAAAGGATGACAAATATTTTTGAAAGAAAGAAATCAGAACAGATACAGCAAGATGTACAAGTGAATCACACATGCAAAAACGGCTGGCTGAGAGATTGTGAAATAATTATGGTTTTGCTGGCTAAGTTGGAAAGCATCCTTGTTTTTTCCTCAGTGAGTGAAAATTGGTGAGCTGCTCTTTATTATGATAATAACCAGTTTTGTGGGCAAGGAAATTGACACAAGAAGTAGTCAGGAAGTTGAAGCCAAGGCATTATCACTGCTTAAAAACTTAGGAGGGGAAAAATATCCCCTGATCAATAAAACTACTGACCAACATTACTAATAAAATACTGCTTCCCTTCCACTCAATTATCTGGAAATCTGCTTTAAAAATAGGTATGCATTGAATAAGGATATTCATGTGAATACAGTCAATGTTTATTTGGATTTAAAAGTTTCAAGAAGACATGTAATTGTACAGCTTTCAGAGAGAATTCTTCCATAAAAAAATGGTAGATATGATAAAGCTGCTTTAAATTAAAAAAATAATGACAGATTCTGCTGTGGAAGTCAATTTATAATTACATGGGGTGCTGTGTCTGTTTTTTTTTGTTTTTTTTGGTGTTTTTTTTTTTTTTTAAGCTGTCATTCAAGCTCAGCTGGGATAAAGACCACATTTTCATGCCCATGTCAGGGATTATTCCTTAGAGTTTTACATCTATTGATTGAGAGGCAGAAGAATACAGTGTTTAAGAGCATGAGCTTCGATCTCAGACTGCCTGGATTGAGTTTAAGCTCTGCCTCTGCATTAACTCACTGCATGGGGTGGCCTTCCATCAGTTACTTAATCTCTCTGTGACTCAATTCTTATATATAAAATGGGATAACTCTAGCTATGATGGGTCAAAATGAGTTAATGTCTAAGAACTGTTGGTAGCACATTATAGGTATACAGTAAATGTTAGGTGCTCTTATTATTAAGTAATTCATTAATACATCACACATATCTTGCTGAAAGATTGTTTTAATCCAGGTGCTGTTCTTGGTTAAGGGGATTTCTTCTAATATCAATCTAATGTCTCTGCTCCATTTGTTGAAAAGCAGTGTGCGAAGTCACATGCCATCTCAGTGTAACTGACTTACCCATATTTGTCAGCCAGTTCCCGAGCTTGCCGTTCATTGACTTCCCTCTGGTCTGGTAGGTCTGCCTTGTTGCCAATTAATACTATATCTGGATTTTCACAATAAGCATTTGCTTGCAGTTGGCCTTGCAAAGAAAGCAGATGGAACCAGCAAATTATTGATAAATAAGTGATGTGAAATGACTGCTCATATTCCAGATTCCTGATCTAATTGTTCATCTCCAGTATGGTTGCTCACTAGTTATATTAGCCAAGTTACTTCCTCTTCCCAGTCACAATGTGCTTATCTATTAAATGGAGATAAGATCCCACAAATTGAAGATTATGAAGAGGACTAATAATATATATGAAACACCTGTATTAATACCCAACATTTAGTAAATGTTAGGTGCTTTTATTATTAAGTAATTCGTTAAAACATCACATGTGTTCCTTTAGAAGATCTTTTTAATCCATGTGCTGTTCTTGCTTAAGGAGATTTCTTCCAATAATCTATATGAAGCACCTGTGTCAATACCAAACATTTAGTAAATGTTAGGTGCTTTTATTATTAAGTAATTCATTAAAACATCACATATATTCCTCTGGAAGATCTTTTCAATCCATGTGCTATTCTTGGTTAAGGGGATTTCTTCTAATAATAGATATCAAGTTGCTAGCACATAGTAAGTATTCAGTAAATATGGAATACATCTGGGAAATGCTCTCTGAAATGGCCATAACTACTTCACACCATTTGTTCCTGAAATATAGGTGGAGGTAAATAGAACATGATTTTTAAGTGGATAAATTTGCTTTTTCCTTTAGGAAGTTGCTACCTTTCCTTTCCCTAATCTTTGAAGTGATGATTTATAGTGTGGAACATTTTTTAATCACTACAAATTCATGTAGAAACAATTTTAAGACAAGTAACTTGTTTTTCTCTTTTCTCCAAAAACATTATGTGTTGGGGGGAGGGGTGAGGAGAGAGAGAGAGAGAGAGAGAGAAAAGAAGGAAGGAAGGAAGGAAGGAAGGGAAGGAGGGAGGGAGGGAGGGAGCGAGGGAGGGAGGGAAAGAACTTTAGTGAAGTTAAAGATGTGCTGAGATTCACTTCAATACGAGCAATGGGCAAAACCAGAGACCACATACAGGGAGGGAATGGAGGGAGAAAGGGAGGGAAGGGTGAGGAGGGGAGGGAAGGGCAGGTCAGGGAAGGAAGTGAATAGTAAGAAAAAAAGGAAAAAAAATAAGAAACCTGTCAAGCTGTGTTTTCGAGGTTACAGAGGCTGCTCTAATGTCTATCATAAGGCAAGCTGTGTGCTACCTTGCCGAGACTAGAGGAAGAAGACAAAGAAAGGCTTACTCTGTAACACCAATCACTTGGGTGTTAAAATTAAAGTGTTATTAGGCATGACAATTAATTATCTTAAATCCCAGCAATATCCTTCTGGAGATGTTTAAAAACAAGGGAGACTCTCATCTGCCTTGAAAAAGGATAAACAAACCATTCTCTGAAAGAATTTAATAAGCTTATTATCTCCTTGTCTCCTCAGAATCTAATGCTACCACCAAAATTTGGGTAACGAAATACAGTATTATATGGAAATAAAGGACAGATCCTAAGATAAACATTCATTTGGAGAGGCAATTATGAAAGTCAGAATTTGTTTCCCCATTGGTTACAAGGTTATTGAACCCACACTGAGAGTGTTTCTATATAATTATTATATAGAATAGTGAATTATATACAAAATATATTATCAATTTTGCATAATATGTAGTGATAAGAAATGTATCTATTTTGAGCATCTACTCTATGCCAGGCACTCACCCAGGTGTGGCATATCGCATTGAAATAAAATGGAGGCCGGGCGCGGTGGCTCAAGCCTGTAATCCCAGCACTTTGGGAGGCCGAGACGGGCGGATCACGAGGTCAGGAGATCGAGACCATCCTGGCTAACACGGTGAAACCCCGTCTCTACTAAAAATACAAAAAACTAGCCGGGCGAGGTGGCGGGCGCCTGTAGTCCCAGCTACTCCGGAGGCTGAGGCAGGAGAATGGCGTAAACCCGGGAGGCGGAGCTTGCAGTGAGCTGAGATCCGGCCACTGCAGTCCAGCCCGGGCTACAGAGCAAGACTCCGTCTCAAAAAAAAAAAAAAAAAAAAAAAAGGAAATAAAATGGAAAATTCTGCACTTTCATAAGAGCTTACATTCTAGTAGTAGGAAGCCTCAAAAACACAAGTAAGCCAAAAATACATCGCATCATGTCAGGTGATGGCTGGGACTGAATGAACTCTAAAACGTGTTGAGGGGATATAGAGTGATGAGTACTATTTCTGGTGGGGTGGTCGGTCAAGAGACAAATAAAGTTTGGGTAAAACTTGGGAGTGTAGAAATGGTATGGTTTGGAGCCATGTCTCACGTTGAAATGTAATCCCCATTGTTCGAGGTGGGGCCTAGTGGGAGGCAACTGGATCATTGGGGAGGATTTCTCATAAATGGTCTAGCACCATCCCCTGGTGCTGTTCTCATGATAGTGAGTTCTCATGAGGTCTGGTTATTTAGAAGTGTGTGGCACATCCCCTTTTGCTCACTTGGTGCTCCTGCCATGTCAGATGTACCTGCTTCCCCTTCAGCTTCCATCATGATTGTAAGTTTCCTGAGGCCTCCCCAGAAGCCAAGTAGATGCCAGCAACATGCCTCCCATACAGCCTGCAGAACTGTGAGCCAGTTCAAACCCTTTTCTTTATAAATTACCCAGTCTCAGGAATTTTTTTACAGCAAGGCAAGAATGAACTAACACAAAAAGTAAACCAAAAAATACATAACACATTATCAGGTGATGGCCATGAGCTATAAAGTGTGTTGAGGCGATACAGAGTGATGAGTACTATTTTAGATGGGGTGGTCAGTCAAGAAATAAATAAGGTTTGGCCAGAACTTAAAGGGAATGAAGAAACTAGCACAGGGCTATAAATGGGAGAAGAGGAAACAAGATAAAGAGAATGGCAGGCTTTTCGTATTAGGAATAGCATGGGACCCAGTTTGGCTGAAGTCTAGTGAGCTTGGCCCGAGTAAGAGGGAACTAGGGAGGAAGCCCAGACATCATCACAGTGACCTTGCAGGTAAGTGAAGGACTCTGGATTTTATTCCGGGTAAGATGGAAAGTTACAGAAGGACTTTGAGCAGGAGAAAAACATGATCTAGTTTTTAAAAAATACAACTCTAGCTACAGATGGCCCAGACAAATCTGGAAATAAGAGCAGCCCCATAGGACAACTCAGCTGTCCTGCTACTTGTATATCCTGCTAGGATCAAAATTCTTATTTGTAATAAAAAATGCAAATGAAATATGCCCTTTATTACTACATCAAGTAAAACATAAAGGAAAATTCCAATACTTCTCTCCTGTGTTGACGTATGTCAATATGACTTTAGTAATTTATTAGGCAACATTTCAATTTGTATTATATCGAAGTTTCCACGGAGGCTGGAGATTTGTCTTTACACAGTTTCCTCACATTTGAACCATTTTTTAAAAAGTAAAATTCCCAAGCAAGCTGACTGACCAACACACGTGCTGTGCCTCACCTTATCATTATGCGACTGGTCTGCTCTGGTTTCATGCCTAATTAACCCACTAGTGTTTAACACACCTTAAGTGCCAGTGTCCCCTCAGAAAATAGTGCCAATTTTTCCTGTGATCTCTCCAGGTCAAATGTAGTAGCTCACTTAGGTTTAAGAAGTCCTTCAAGATTTACTGGAAAAGTGGAATTAATGGCCTTTCAATGACAATAATAAAGATCTTAAATACAAGTGGTGATAAAGCAACATACACTTCCTCTAAAAATATCAAAGGAAAATACAATTCCAAGCTACCTAGGGTGGTTCACATAAAGGCTACCACTTTGAAGGTGACGCAGTGACACAGGCAACACTAAACTCATGACTTTGAAAGTGCATCTGTGGTACCCAATCTGGTTTCATCTTGTAAGACCAACAAGCACCTAGGGCAGTTGGGTCCCAAAGCGGCCAATGCACATTACTCAGTCCCACTTACTCATCCAGTTTCTGACGTTTAAGAAGCTCTGTTGACTGGTGAGGTCAAACATTAATAAGAAGCCCATGGCGTCTCTGAAAAATGCAGTGGTGAGACTCCGGAACCTGCCGAGGAAACACAGTGGGTAGTTCTGAAAGTTAGTCCACATAACTTTGACAACAACACAAACAACAGTTTCCCTTTCAGGCATGAATTCTCCGTGGCTAGCCCTTATGGAATATCCTAGGGGAATGGGAATGTGGGCAGAGAGACTGCTGAAGAATGAAGGGAGAAGATTTGGTTGCACATTTTTTTCTAAGACCACTTCCTGCCTTTCTGATCTCACAGCACTTTATACACACAGTTTGTAACATTATTCACGGATTTGCTTACACAGCTTCTTGGAATCTTTTCGGCTCGTGGGCATTTTGTGGTCCACGATTAAAATGTAAAGCACTTTAGAGTGGGGACTTCAACTTATACTTTCCATCTTTCTTGTCTGTGCCCAGAAGAAAGCTTGGCACACAGTAGCCTGAAAATGAATGCCTGTGATGATGTGAAGGAAACTGCAACTTGTTAGCTACAGGAACTGGAATTCTTTTGTAAGGAAAAATATTGATGACAAAACTCTTTTTAAAAAGCACTGTTTGGGGATAAAACTGACCTTCAGGTTGGCATCTAGGATTCACGAGGAAAAGGAAGATGATTGAGGGACGGAGTGGATGTCAGGACAGAAAAGAGACATAGTCATTGGTGAAAGGAGGAAAGAACTCTCATTTCTAATCAGGATTTTGGAGAATTTGCTCTTTCGTGTGCAATGCAGTTTTCCCTGCCTGGTCAGCTTTCCATGCCCCCACCCCCGACCCCAGTCACCACCAACCATCTTTAGTGAAGTTAAAGATGTGCTGAGATTCACTTCAATATGAGCAATGGGTAAAACCAGAGACCACATACAGGGACCAGAGAAGGTTTTGAATTTGGCAATGGGATTTTAGAAAGGCACACAACTTTGAACTAGAGATATGCTTCCTATCCTAAATGTTATTCTAATTTTTGGTCTCCTATTTTAGCTAATTTGTAGATCCTTTGTGTTGGTTTCCTCCGAGGTCTACTGTTGACCCCTCTTACTCTACATACATTGACTGGAAAATCTTATCCCCTTCCCTGGCTCACTTGTAGCCTGCATGTTGAGAAGCCCAAAATTAGAGATCTAGAGGTTTCCTGCTTTTCACATTAGATGCCTAATTACTTGTTGGATATTTCCTCCTGGAGGAAACTCAGGCACCTCCAACTTCATACATCCAAAACCAAACTGGCCACTCTTCCTAATTTCTTTTTCCATTTATACATCACCATCCTTCTGGTTGCCACGATGTCTGGTTGTCACCTGATGTCTACAGTTAACACATATCTTTTGACCTGCTCATTTCTGTCCATCTACTCTACCACTGTTCTACATTCAAACCCATTCTCCCTCACCTGGACAACTTCAACAGCTTTCTCATTAGGCTTCCTGTATCCAGTTTTGTTTGGGACCCTACTCCTATCACCATTCCATTTCTTCCCATAGATTATATCAATGCTCTACTAATGACATTTTTAATGATTAGACATCACTTGTAAGCTAATGCACAAACTCCTTACAAAGCTGGCAAGGCTCTGCAGGAAGTGATCTTTGTTTATCTATCCAGCTTCATCCCTTTGACTACCCACAGACATGCTGATCTTTTAGTTCTTAGAAACTTCACTCTGCTCCCCTGGGCTTTCACATATGCTGGTCTTTCTGTGGGTTACCTTGTCTTAGTGCTTCTTTTTCTTCCTACCACTTTGTTGAGCCTGGATTGTACTCACTCATACATTGTGCATGAGTATATAGATAATGGTATCAGAGGAAATATCACTTTCCCAAGGGGCCTTCCCAACACTGCATGTGGGCTATGCGCTCCTCCTGGTGGGCCTGCCTACGTCTTTGTTTTCCTGTTACTTTCCTAAGGCTCCATTGCAATTGTTTATTCATCCAAATTCTATCCTAGACTGTAAGCTCCAACGGTAAGGGAGCTGTGTTTCTAACTTGCTATCCATCGTATTTTCATGGCTCAGAACATGGTATTTGCTCACTAAATATTTGTGAAGTTAAACAGTGCAAGAGAAAGAAAGAAACAGTAAAATATATGCAATTATTAGATATGTAAATGACTGCAACAGAGAATGATACTTTTCATATAAAAAGATGGGAGAAGAGATATTTTCACTGCTATTTATTTCCAAAGTAGGATTTGTTTGTAGGACATCATCATGATCTAAAAATGTAGAGCAGAAATACCAAAAAAAGTTATTCAGTTTTTTCTTGTGGATTTGTTTCTACCATTCCTTGGAATCCCACAGAGATTACAGTGCATTGATTGAATAGTTATCCCTCTTTGGAGACTAGCTGTACCCACAAAATTGTCTCCTACTTGACCATAATTGTGTCATGCCAGGAAAACTGCTCTTTGTTCTCTCCTTAAGTGTGTGTGTCTCATTTGAGGACAAGAGTTTGTGTTATTTCCTCTCATTGCCCAGAGCATATGACAAAGTTACTGAAAAACGTGCTTGCCATAGTGATCTGATTGGGGCAAACAATTTCTCCTCCATAGCAGCATGGATAGGACATGCTTATTTCAGAGGAGTAACAGACATCCTGCTCTATTCTGTCCAGTATCTTTGATATCCCCCATTTCCCCCACGAGGAGACTAGTAATTCCTTTCCAGCCTCCCCCACCCATCTCATTCTGTCTATTGAGTCAGCAGGGTGGAGGAACCAGTGAAACCATGTTCCAAAGAGTTAAAGAAACCAATGATGAATAGGAATTGAGTTTGCAGGATGGCAGATAAAGAAGGAAATAACTTGCTGAAACACTGAAACTCCCCCTGCTTATGAGATAAGTGAACTGGCTGAAATCGACTGGAACTGATATGGCTGACTGGAATCTGTACAGAACAAGCTTGCTAATGTCACAGCCTGAGTTTCTACCACATGTTTCATACTAACTCCCCTTGAATTTCCACACGTGACCCCTGAGATAGAATGCAGAGATAAGTGCCCATGTCCAAGGACTTTGCAGCCCTCCCCTTTCCTTCCACGAATCACCTGTTAATCTCAGAACCCATTCCTTCCCCAACCTTTTCTAATAAAAATACTCTTCAAAAAGCCGGAACAAAAAGACAGATTTGAGCTTGACCCTCCTGTCTCCCTGCAAGTTGATTTGCAATAAAACCTTTCCTTTTCTCAAAATTCAGTGTCATAGTATTGGCTTCCAGCACGTTGAGTGATGACCCCCTTTTGCTCCAGAACACTAGGATCACAGAAGAAACAGACCCCAAAGCCACATTATCACTCTTCCCCCTCACTGGGAATGAAGTCTGTGCCCTGTATCCTTTAAGTTTCCATAAGGGCCATGCGTTTTCTCTTCCTTCCCATGATGTGACTTCTGTCAATACCCATTATCTTACATGGATTGCACAGCCAGATGTCCTTAGGCGTGGGGCTGAGGTGTGAGGCTTTATCTTGCTTAGCTACACCTTATATATACACAGAATGCAAAATTCTCAGGGGATGAATAATCTAAGTGTTCCAAAGGCTGCCCTGAGTATTCCCCATTTCTCCCCTAGAGCAGCTGCCTTCAGGGGACAGACAGAGAAGGCTGCCATCATGCAAGGCTGACATATCATGTGCGAGGACATATGGGAACCACATTTTCTTATATTACTTCAAAAATGAATTAAAGTGCTCTATAAAACATACATCTTTGTGACAACAAAACTGACATATGAACAGAGATTCTTGTGAGGAATGGCTTCAGAGGAACCAGCAGTGTTGAAGGGTGTGTGTAAATGGAATTCACAGTCAAAAAAGCTAACAGAGAGGGCCCAGCACCTCTCCTGGCGTTTACACTCACTGAAAGCGAGAACGCTTTGGATGCATTTCAAAGACGGAAGTGTTTACAAGCAGAAGCATTCTAAGACATACGATGCAGGATTTGGAGGTATGTGCCTTCTAAATATCCTCTCTGCCAATTTTTTGCCACTTTTAATTTAATCTAATATTGAAAAGATTCATTAGCTTGGGGTCTTTTGCACTTTGAAATCTTGGATCTTTTTTTTTTTTTTTTTCATCTGACAATAGAATAGTACCTCCAGCTCTGAGGAACTAACACTACCGAGTATTAGCTTGGACACTGTACCAGAGACAATGCTCCAGAGACAGGCAAGATCTCCACACCTGTAAAGATGACAATTTCGTTGGGGTGAGAAGGCTCCAAGTGAATCAGTGAACAACAGTTAAAGACAGAAATAGAATGTTCACTTTATGACAAGGTGGCAAATAATTATTTTAGACCTTAAGGGTGAAATAACTGGTGTCTGCAGTAGTTCAGAGGAAAAGTGAGTTTGTTTCAGCTGGGATGTTCAGACAGGCTTCATAGAGGGGAGGAAATATGAGCTGGGCCTGGTACAAGGAGAGGATCAGAAAAAGTGGGAAAAGAGTAAAATATTCTAGCTGGAGGGCAATTGTTTATGATCAAAGTCTGAAAGGACAAAGCCAGTCGCACAGCATGGGACAAAGAGGCTGTGTTGAAATAACAGAAAGAGACAAGGAAGATCTTAACACCCTTTTTTCAACTCCCTCTTCAAGTAGCACTTACAATGGCGTTAATTTCCCATCTTCATTCAACTAAATTCCAGAGAACCTTTTTTTCTTCTAAAAAGTGCAAAGACAGTGCAGAGCAAGAATCTTCAGAGAGATTTTTGAAAGTCTGATTTTTGAAATTCGTACCAACTGCACTTGGCTACTGTGATTAATTAATTACAAATCATTTATTTTTATTTCTGGATACAAATGTCTATTTTGAAACCAGGAGAAGAGTTGCATATTATTTCTTTTTCAAATTCACATACAGCATTCATTTTAAAGTAAGTTTTTCTAAGCTATGTGTAGCTACAAATAAAGCAATTTACTATTACCGCTCTTGTCCCGCAGTGTCCCAAAGCTGAAGATGCACTTTAAATGCTTTCCCTGAAGATCCATTTGGTCCTTGTGCATTATAAACCTGAAAGACACAATGTTCATTAGTTGAGGTTGCTTTGGATTTTGTCAATACTCAAATTCTCTGAGTTCACTCAGCATGTTTTTTCTCAATTACTATAATCAAAGTTCATAGTGCAGAATAAATATTTGCTCTATATTTTTTTCCAGAATTATCACATGTACTCTCACTTTTAAATGTCAAGTGCAAGTATGATTTTCAACACAGTTTAGGCATATTGCAAACTTAAATTAGACACCTTCTGTCATTTCCTCATGAGGCAGCAAACATCAGATTTAGGACCCAAGTTCTAGGTTCAAACACAAACTCTTCATTTAACCTCTTTGAGTCTTATTTTCTTATCTCTAAAATTGAGATCCATAACCCCTTCCTGATTTACAGAGTTACTTCTAACTGCAAACTTCAGTGAAATCACAGATGTTAAAGCATTTTTTTAAAAACAGTAAAGTGCTTTACAAATACCCGAATATCTTTTACTGTAAAATGGACTTTCAAAATGACTTAGCCATGAAATATGCACAGGATTTCTCAATAAGTTGACACAGGACATTTCAAGCCTTTCTTCACTAGTCATTTAGTCAAAGGCTCTTTTTAGGTAAGTTTAATTTTTAAAAAAATTCTGGCCTTTTTATTGTTTAAGCAAAGCCTAAAATACTTAATATTTACTCAGTTTCCTTAAGTATAGTTTAGTGAATATGTTTTAAAGGAAAATTTCTGCAAGGACATATACCCAGACACTGGAAAGGAGAGAAGGCAGAAAAACCCTGAATGGGTTGTCAGGGAGTTTGCTAAGCCTACACAACCATGTATTGACTTTCAGATCAGGTCCAGCACAATATAAGAAACCATGATTCAACTTCCCAGGCAATGGCTTCCAATTACCATTTCTTTTGTTTTCTTTCCCAATTCTCAAGGAATGAGTAGATTTGTGACATCAGCTTGAAGCCACAGCCATCTTGGCAATCAAGGATACCCAGGGTGGCAGTAAATCTGGCTGAGCTTCTGTGCCTATGCTACACATCTCACATGTCACAATATCCTTATTCCTGTCAATAGTGTCTAGCATAGGAGAAGGAAGTGGTTGTGATTCTCACTTAAACTCTCTTATCTTGGAAAATAGCATGATTGGTGTCTCACATTCTGTTCATAAGAAGCCAGTGATTGATGGCTCAGTCTACACATAAATAAAAATGCAGCAAGAACTTAGAAAAAGCTCATGTTCCAGATATTTGCCAATCATACTTTTAACTTCTTTCTTAAGAGTGGGGAAATGATCACTTGCTCTTATTGAGGACTTTAACTCAGGTCAGAGTTAATGTTTTTAGATTCTAATAATTCAAGTTTTGAAAGATTTCTTAAGAATTTGTAGAAAACACACTATACAAATCAGTAAAATGTTGATTTGGATTGCCTTGTATACTTTGGGAGACAAGAGAGTGCCATTTAATACTTTTCTAGGAAAATGTTATTTATATTTGAAAAGTAGTAAATAATATTCTAAAATAAATTAAAATGACAGGTTATGAATGTCATGTGACAAAAGAGACTCCAGTGCAATAAACATAGCTTCTTCATTCTTATTTTATATAGGGGGATGAGTGACAAGGTTAGCAGTACAATTAAAAACTCACCACACGTTTTTCCCGAAAGTCTATTCCTACTGTAGTGATGAATTTGGGATTGAATTTATTGTCTGTGTATCTATAAAGAAATGTTGTCTTCCCCACCCCTGAATCTCCGAGGGCCAGGAGTTTGATCAGATAATCATAGTCTCCATCGGTCATAGTGATGGTCTTGGTCGGTCTGTATAGGAGAGGGAAAACAAGTATGTTTTGATTAAAGTTGATTTTCATTTGCTTTATATCAAAATACAACATAAATTTAATTTTCAGGGTTAAAAAGTCAAATACTTCTATTCTGCCATATTCAAAATTAACTTGATCAAAGCAGCTTTAGGGGTGAAGGCACATCTAGTATTTTACTCAGTACAAATATTTTTACATCATATCACCTCGTATGGAAAAATATGCAAAATATCAGTTGCCACAGTGTATTAGTCTGTTCTCATGCTGTTGTAAAGAACTGCCTGAGACTGGGTAGTTTATAAAGGAAAGAGGTTTGACTCACAGTTCAACATGGCTGGCGAGGCCTCAAGAAACTTACAATCATGGCAGAAGGAGTCTCTTCACAGGGTAGCAGGAGAGAGAATGAGAGCTGAGCAAAGGGGGAAGCCCCTTATAAAACCATCAGATCTTGTGAGATCTCACTATCATGAAAACAACATGAGCAGCATAAGGGTAACTGCCCCCAGAATTAAATTACCTCCCACTGGGTCCCTCCCACGAAACATGGAGATTATGGTAACTACAATTCAAGATGACATTTGGGTAGGGACACAGCCAAACCATATCACACAGCAATAGTAGAACTTAAAGTAAAAAGTCATAGACTTGTGTTTTAAAACCAGTGCATTTGGGATTAGGAGGATGGTATTAGGAAGAGGAGAGAGTCACAGGGAACAGAAAACCCAGTTCAAGATGATGCAGATATCCTACAGAAAGACATCACTTATAGACAGATAATGGAAGAAAAAAGCAGAGGGATATGTTTTGCATCTATCCATGCAGGATGAGCCCTCTATATAATTTGTATACAAATTATTCCTTTTTAATTTAAAACATTTAACAACTGACATGACAAGCTTTAATCCTGTACTGGTAACACCGAGAATACCAGGACATGTATTTGAATGACACAATTGCCTACTTGGTGAATTCTCCACTCTTGAGTTGAGCGAAATAATTTACTGCTCAGTACAACTTCCTGAATCATGGGCTATATTAATAGAAATGGGTCATATCTCATGTGAAGGAAGGCCTATGCAGATTTTTCTAGAATGCAAAGGTTTATCTCAGTATTATGTGAGAGGGAGGAAGACTTCCCCACTCTCGAAGATCCAGAAAACACTGTATTCTTTAAGCATTCTGGGATAATTAAAATTAAATTTCAACAACAGCCTATTCTATGGACATGATATGGTTAGAGTTTGTGTCCCTACCCAAATCTCATCCTGAATTGTAATCCCCATAATCCCCACATGTCAAGGGAGAGGCCAGGTGGAGGTAATTGAATCATGGGGGTGGTTTCCCCATGCTGTTCTCATGATAGTGAGTGAGTTCTCACAAGATCTGACGGCTTTATAAGGGGCTCTTCCCACTTTTGCTATCTCTCTCTCTCCTGCTGCCTTGTGAAGAAAATGCCTAGCTTTCTCCTCACCTTCCGCCATGATTGTAAGTTTCCTGAGGACTCCCCAGCCACGCTGAACTGTTAGTCAATTAAACCTCTTTCCTTTATAAATTACCTAGTCTTGGGCAGTTCTTTACAGCAGTATGAAAATGGACTAATATGGGACATATCTAAAATTACTAGATAATTCTAATAAATTTTTATGTGTAAAAAAAATTGGTACATGTACATGTACAAAAAATTAAAACAATTTTTTTTGTTTTTATATTGTTACTTTAGTCACCTATCAAAACTGAAAACTTTTATGTCTTTGGGTAAATAATGAGGAAGAATAGAATGAGGTACTCATCAAATAATCCGGTATCATTATATTATTTGGAATATTTGCATTGCTTTACATTATACTTTATTATGAATGTATGTTTCTTTCGTGAATTAATGCTTTTTGAGGTAGGATGTTTTTAAAGTTGCAAATTCATACTTTTACTCTAAAGCTTTACTGCCGTATAACACATTTTCTTCACTAGTAGAGCTCTCTAGATGGATTTTTGCTGACCATCGGTGTTCTCTTTAAAAAAAAGAGAAAGAAAAAAAAAAGATCTAGACAAAGCATAATCATTTCTTAGGAAGAGATCCATAGCGCCCATCAAGACCAGTCTTCCTTAATAAAAGGATACATGTCTCAATTATTGCCATGAAGGATACACATGTCTCAATTATTCCAATATAGACATTGGAAAATGTCTATATTGTGTGACTGCATAGAATTGACTGGCATCGACCTTCCCTGGCTTAGGTGATCCTCCCAACTCAACCTTCCTGGTAGCTGGGACTACAAACACATGCCTCCAAACCTGGTTATTTTTGTGCGTATTTTTTGTATAAATGGGGTTTCACCATGTTGCCCAGGCTGGTTTCAAACTCCTGGGCTCAAGTAATCCACCCTCTTCAGCTTCCCAAAGTGCTGGGAAGACATGAGCCACCACACCCAGCCTGGTAAAATATTTTACCAGGACTGTATCATTGAATATGTTGCTGCTCTTATTCTTACTTGCTGCTCTTGGTCAACCCAAATGGGTAGCTAAAGGAGTTTTCTGCTGAAGTGGTATGATTTCCCCCAACACTTAAGGTCTATTATCACCATCACTCTACCTTTTTCTCTCTTCCCCTAAACTTGCTCATGTAAAACTATTTTGGAGGGTGATAATGTTTGTCATTTCACCAGCAGAACTGGATGAAACTGTTAATTTTCAGAAAAAAAGACAGTGCTTAAATTTATTCTAAGATATTAGTAACTAAAGCCAAATTCTTCCCTAGGCAAGAGCCTTAATTTTTTGAGCAGAGTTTTTGGGGTGGGGGTGTGAAATTGAAGACACTAGATTCTGTGGCTCCCTGAAAAAAATGAAAAGAATGGAGTCAATAAGACACACCTACATACTTTAAAATTTTGCTTAAAGTTAACTTTTTTTTTTTTTTTTTTTTTTTTTTTTTTGGCAAATGTGTGTGTATGCATGCGTGACAGTCTCAAGAAACGTTAAGTCATGAGCAAATCTAGTTAAATGTCTTCAATACATAGTGTTAGGCCCAAAGATGAAAACTTTAAAAATGGAAGTTCTAGTCTAGCTTCTGACAAGGTATGAATTTACTTAAAAGTGAAATAAGGATGTGAGAAAATACAATGTAATTTTGCAAGATAGAATGATTAATTGATAAATGAGTTAAATCCTGGTTGTGTTTTCAATTCAAACAAAACAGTGTCTTCATGGACTGCAGTGATCCAAGAAGACTGCAGAGGAAGGAAAATTTGCATTTAACCTTATAGCATGGAGGGGAATTAGACATGAGGAGAGGAGATACAGGACCATGGCATGAGAGATTACTTTCCACTTGTAGAATGAGAACACTACCACTTGCCAACTACATGACCTATCATGTTTTCCTGATTGGCAGGCAGACTGTTCTCTGTTGTTTGCACATAAACCTGCCTGGGGCAATACTGGTGCTACCTCCTAGTCAAAGTCTAATCCAGAGTGAACAATCCAGGCTAACACAAATCAGTTCCACTGTGGCCCACACTGCCTCTTTGCTATAAGTGGGTGCTGGACACTTTATGACATTTAACACAAATTCCACCTGAAATGAATGCAAAGCTTGGCACTGTGGAAAAATCTTTATTTTTCCATAGGCTATTTGACATATTAAGCTAGGTATGAGATAGTTCACTTCTAAGCTTCTTTCAAAAATGAATTTTACTTCTTCTTTTTTATATCACTACTCTCCTCTCTCTCTCTGTCTACCTCTCTCAACACACACATACACACAGACACACACACAGACACAGTATTTGGCTCAGCTCCTCTTTTTATTATTGTGTGATTTTTTTGAATCCTAAAATCATATAGCCTCAACATTCTATTGTTGGTCGTTGGCATGGCAAATACACCATAAAAAAAAGTCTTGGCAAACTTTCCTAGAACTGGGCTAAAAAAATGATGTGGGAAGGATCAAAAGGCTGACAAGTTTAACCTTTTGTTTATTCCTGCACAGTGGCTGATGGTCTTGCTGGTTCTTGGTTCTGTGGATATAAAAGGGAAGAAAAGGTCAGAAGACTACAGTGTTTCAGGAAATGCATCTCACTCAGTCCTTATCGTGGTGTCACAAGCTGTACCACAAGAACCAGGAGGACTTTTAGATACAGAGGAGCACTTCATGGGAAGGCGAGGGGCTGAAAAGAGTAGGGAAAAGAACTGAAATGTATCACACCCATGAGGCTCTGTTTAATGAATAATTGTAAAGGTAAAAAGGAGCCCAAGTAATCAGGTGGTGTAGCCCCTCAATTTTTGGATGAGAAGTCACATGCAGAGAAGGAAAATCCAAGATGATTATTATAATTTGAAATACAAAGTGTGTTAGATAGGAACAAGGTAGGAATATTTTTATTTTATATAGAAAGGGAATTTTATCCTGGATATATGCAGAAACAGAATTTCCATAGCTAGAATATCTCAAATGAAGTTGCCTATGGATTCACTCTTACCCACTCTACCTCTCAGCTCCCCCTATTTTTGTTTAATGTAAGTTCCATTAGCACAGAAACTTGATCTCTTTTGTCTACTGCTGGATTCACAGAGCTCAGCTCAGTGGCTGTCATATAGAAGGAGCTCAATACATATTTGTTGAGTGTATAAATTTATTTAAGCTATCTGCAGTCATGCAAATGTCATGATTAATGAAATTAATCTCATGAGCCATTTGTGGAAGAGGTATGCATCCCAGTGCAAGGACTTGGATTCTCCCTTCTTATCAGTGAGGTGAGTGTTTAGATTAAAGGATCACTGTAGTGCTTTCCAGGTCTGGCTTCCTGAGCTCGTTTTTGTTTTCTTTTCTTTTCTCTTCTTTCTTTCTTTCTTTTTTTTTTTTTAGATGGAGTTTCACTCTTGTTGCCCAGGCTGGAGTGCAATGGTGCCATCTCGGCTCACCGCAACCTCCGCCTCCCGGGTTCAAGTGATTCTCCTGTCTCAGCCTCCTGAGTAGCTGGGATTACAGGCATGTACCAC